TCCTGGGATATTCCATACTCTTCCCCAATACCGTAACTCAAAGGCATAGACTCTTCTGTCACCCTTAATCACGGTCTAGCTCTCAGAAGCTTTGGAATCAATTAAAAACACCATGTCTTGCCTCAGGAGCACCTTAATCTTTAAGCAACATTGTTGACAACTTCAATCTTTTCTCCATCTCTCATGACACTGCCTATTAGTCCATTAGTGGGGAGGTCTGGTAGTCGTCTATTAGGTGGTAAGGAGTTTTGTTTTCTTGACATTGAAATGTAATCAATACTGAAGGTTACGATCTTTGATCTTTTGAAGCGTGGATTTCAAGTCTTCTTCACAAGGTTGGTTGTGTCATCTGTGTGACGGAAGTTTTTGATGAATCTTCTTCCACATTCCTATTGCCACATCCTTCTTCGCATAGTCCCTGTTCTGAAATGATTTTCTTAGCATAGAGATTGAATAGGTTCAATGGACTGCTACTTCTCTCTTCTCTACATGATAAAGTTCTGCTAAGTTTCTGGAGTTTGAGCTAGGTATCTTCTCAGAAACCTCCCTTTCTGCTTCTCCCCACTGCCCGTGGCCTCCATCCCATTCTGAGTATGAATCATCACATTGCTGTGTGATTATCTGTGGGCAAAGCCCCTTACCCTCTAGACTAGAAACCCTTCAACACATCTTCCTAGGACCTAACTCCTGATACCATGCTTGTGGGGTAAAACTCAACCACAGTTGTCTAACCAGTTTCCACGGAGACCACTCCAATTCACAGTGACCTGATGTGCGTCAGAGATTCGCACCCCATATAGTTTACAAGGATGTGGCCTTCAGAAGTGGAAATCTATGCCTTTCATCTAAGGAGCCTCTGGGTATAAAATGAGCAGATGCAACACGCAGGTGGCTGAATCTGACTTCTACCTACGTCTTATACGGGAACTGTCCCCATCAAGAACATCTGTAGTACTAAACAAATAGCTACAAATAGGGTCAAACATGCCACCTCACGTGCTCCTGCACTTCATTTGGTCCAAAGTTCATTTTAACTTGACTCACAGACTTTTACCCACAGTTGTGGAATTTCTTAGGGAAACAGGTTGGAGAGTGAGGGTGACAAAGAATATCACACTAATCCAGGTTTAGTCGAGCAGTTCCAAGCCAAATTAACAAGGCAAAGTTCCTCAATTAGTGAAAGTCAGGTTCCATTCAGCCACAAAAATTCACCTCTGGTGCCCTTAATCATCCAGCAAATTTTCTCTCAGAACAGTTATAAATAAGTTTTCCTTCAATTATCCAGCAAGCAAAACCTTTAACTGTGGCTCTATCTCCAGTCTTCCTCTGGTTATACCTTGCCACAGTATTTTCACAGCAGTGCCACTGTCTCCTCACAGCAGTGCAACAGTATCTCCACTCTCTCTCCACCACAATTTTTCACAGTGTGGAAAGTGATTTCTTGTATTGGTCTTACATCAATTGACGATTTGCAAGAACATGTGTCTGCAGTTAAGGTAGCTGGAGTTCATGCCCACAATAGGGGCTAACACGATGGAGAGAAAAGCCAAAGTTTCTGACACCACACTGGGTGAGTTCAAACTCTTAACCTTTGCCTTAGACATCAAGTCCTTAACCATTTATGCCACCCAAGGACTATTAATAATTTTGTTTGATAAATGAGAGAATATCAATATGAATCATTGATCTCCAGACATGAATACATGTTTAGCAAGCTTTGTGAGACTTGTCTCCAATGTCAGATTATCATCATTCGTGTTATGAATAATGCCCAAATTAAACCAAGAATATAAAAATTATCGACACTGGACATCTATCATGTGGATTGAATTTTAGAGACTTGTTCACACTCAGACTGTGTTCCTGTTATCTTGGACCTTGCTTCTATACAGTTTTATCTTAATCACCATAGAATGAAAAGTGCTGATAGGCAGGAGGTAATCATAGGGTCACACAATTTGATGGGGGGAGGGTAAAGGAAATGGGGAAGATGCAGTGTGAAAAAAACAATGTATACAAACTTTTTAAGTAAACCAGTATAAAATAAAAATTTTATTTTTTTAAAAAAGTGCTGATGGATTGGTACAAGTCTTGGGACACTCACACCCACAGCTCCATTCATACACATTGCTGTTGTTGTGCGCTGTCACGTTGCCTACAACTCATAGCGACCTTATGCACAATAGCCTTGAACCCTGCCCTATCATTAGCCAATCTCACGGTCTCTGACACACCTATTCCTCCTCTTGATACCAGTCAATAAACAGCATGCCCACTCAAGTAAAAAGATTATTTCCATGATTAAAACATTTTACACAAAATGTCTATCGCAATTAAGTAAAAATGTCATCTCTACAAAACAAAATAAAGTTGCTTAAACCAGAAGTCAAACCCACCACAATCTAACTGAATCCGACTCTTGAAAACCTCCCCTGTTGGATTTTTGACGCTGTAAACCTTACGAGGAATGAACTGTCTCAACTTTCGCCCACTGAGCTACCTTTGGATTCAAACCGCTAACCTTTTAGAGATCAGAACAATGTATAAACCCACCACGCCACAAGGGTGCCTTTAAAGGCTGGCAGGCCTACAAAGTGAGAAAATTGGCAATCTCTATGTTCTCATCAGCCTCTGTGATTCTTGGATTCATTGTAAAGGGATCAATGAAATAGATCTCTGATATGAGTCTGCTTATGTCTGGATAGAATGATTTGAAATAGGATAGATCAATTTACAATAACAATTTTATTATGACATACAACTTTAATAGCAATTTTTTATAACATTTTACAATTTTTATGAACATTTACCTATAAAATGTCCCAAGAAAGTTAGGTGTTTCTAGTTAATTACAATAAGATTGAAGCAATGGTTCTTCATTTAAAACTAATTTGTAGGTCTCCTGCCTTCTGTGCATGCATGCCCACTCTTCTGGGCTCTCTATCCTACAGTTAAGAGCACACAAAGAAGCACTCTGATATAACGCTTAAAAGCCCAGAGACTAATAGAGAGGTTGCTAGTTCAAATCTACCCAACTTTCCTGTTAGAGAAAGATCTGATAATCTGATTCTATTAAACTGCAGCCCAGGAGTACTCTGGGGCACTCCTACACATTTACATGGCATCACTAGGAGGTGACAACAAACCCTGGCATTCCTAACAATAACAACAAGCACATAAAAACATCATAAAATGTGTGTGGATAATCTAATCATATGCATGCCACACTTCCCAGAGTTAAGTAATTTCTCATCCTCCTAAAATTTTTCAGGAGAAACACTGGAAACTCACATCTCAAAATGAGTGTATTTCCTATTGTTAAATTACCTCTGGAAGGAAGATGCTCATTCTCAAAGGTAGAGCAAGTAAAACTTCTAACACCTTGTTCACTTATGACTCACGAGTCAAGAAAAACTCAGAAAAGACTAGAAGCAGAAAGCTTGAAAAGGGCGAAACAGAAGGTTGTCGACCACGTTAATAGGAAGCTTACTTTACTTTATCCTTCAAAGCAGAATAGTCAAAAGGGTATGACTAATAAGAATAATATGCTTTAAATAAAGTATTAAGCATTCCCTGTGCATAGCTGAAAAAAGCAGTGCTTATATGCTAGAAAACCTACAGTAAGTTGTTATAAGCCTCCCTAGTTAAGCAGATATTTAGCCTTTTATTAGCTGGCATCTTCTAAGAAGAGGATTAAGGCATGCTGGGAATTGTCCACACACTATTCAAGGACCCACTGAGAGTAGAAGGGAAGCTCACTCAAAAATTCTATTAGAACAGGTGGGTTGATTTCATTAAGTTTTAAACTAAATCTGATTATTTTTGTGACAGTTATTGCCAATGCGTTAGGAAATTAAAACATTATCCTCTCATGTGCCATAAGAGCTATCTGTAGACGTGATATCGTAGTATAATACATGCCATCTAATTATCTGTTATCATAATTCCATTAAGAGGAAACATAATCCATCTCAGTGTAAAATGTTTACAAATGTATGCCTGTATGATGCTCATCCTGTTTCAATTAATCAGCAATGCACAATTACAAGGACAGAAGGCAAGTTCCAGTCAAGAATCGTTAAATTCTATTTTCAAAAATAGCCATGTTGTTATTCTTGACTTACTGCTAAACAAGGGTCATAGCAAATTAGAGTAAAGATAGTAGACAAAGGGAGAGGAAGATAAATACATCCCCTACACCAGCACCACATCATCCATGGGAACATCTCTTTTATTACTAAATTGTAGAGACACATATTGAGACAAGCTTGGTAGGTAGGAAATTACAGGAAGATAATGAAATTCTGAAGTCATAAACTCTCCCGTAATGGAAGGCGTTGCGAGATCACTTTGGCACGGCCCGATTTGCTTTCATAATATGATTGCATGTTAAGGTGATTTTAAGAATCAATTTAAAAATTCATAAGATGACTTTTTCCTCCTGTTGTTAGATAGGCTTATTGTGCAATCGTTCATCCAAGGATTGTTTTGTGAGCTTCTGCTCCAGGAGACTTTTGGGTCAACAGAACCCAAAGGTAGAGCAAAACCATTATCTGGCAAAGAAAGTGCCACAGCCCCTCCTCCACCACCACCCACAGTGTCAGTGCAGAGACCACAGAACACTCCCCACAACTGTGAACACCTTCTCGTGCAGCTCGCCCATACCTGCAACGCTTAAAGGGTTGACTAATCAACTAGTGCCTCTATTAAGAGCTACCAGCAAAAGACATGCTCCAATTCTGCGCAAAGGCTACTGACAGTAAATGCTGTGAAAATGTTCCTAGCCATCTCTCCAACTCCACAGCAGGGGCTGTCTTCCAGAAGCATAGTGGACAGTGACCCAAGACTCAATTTCTTTATGAAAATAGACATGCATATAAAAATGAACAATATTCTACTGGAACATAGTCTGACTGAAATTGGAAATCTTCTTTTCTTATCTAAAGCTGACTTGTACAACAGAAAGGAAACTACACTATCAACATGGAGTGATCACTCACCTGGGATGGGCTGCGGGGCAAACACCACAGTGGGCACCGGTCGAGAAGCAGGGGCTGGTCTCGACAAAGACAGGGCTACTTGATTTGCCAGAAAATGAGGCTTCTCGTATCCATGGAATAGTATAGCTTCCTCTGGCTGTACCCACGTTGAGTCGAGAGCAAAAGAGTTATTAAAAATGACCTGCCCAAAAACAAAGCAAGCATAGCATCTTAGGCAAGGAACATCATGGAAGCTAAGCACTACAATAAAAATACTTATCTTGTCTTGCATTGATCTCAAATATTACACATTTTATGTCTTCTTGTTAACTAGGACCACATGGAACATCCATTCACAATTGAAAAAAAAGATTCAGGTGCCCCCATTTCCAATCACTTCCCAGTTCCCAATTCCCTGGACTGTGATCAACTATTGATTTCATTTACCTGGCAGCTAGTTTACAGATGGAAGACCCATACCAATGAGGTCATTAGCATGAGGTAGAAAAGTCAACAAAGCACTGTGTTTGGCTTTCAAATAAGCAAAGCCGATTCAGTACATTGAATTCAGAAGCCAAGACAAACAATCAGGAAGATGAAAGCTCAAAGTAACAAAAGAAAAACATCCACAAGAGCAAAGGTCAGTAGAATTTCACTATATATTACGCATTACTGGATTTTGATCCATGCCTACAAATTTAAAAACTGAACAGCAAAATTAAAAAAAACAACAACCCTGATTCAGAAACTGGACTAAATCATGCATTGTTCTGTACAATCCTCATACTTTGAGTAAAAACAAAGTGCTTCCCCCGCGCCTTGAGTTTCTGCACAGATCAATCTCTCTCTCTGAAAAGGTCTCACTCTTTATACCAAGTAGCTGAATCTACTGCAATTGGAAAATATGCAGTGTTTCCTGTTGTCATGGAAATACGCAACAACATAATTAAAATCCATTCATTCAATTGAATCATTTGTGTTTTTACCTTACAGTTAGGGATCCTTTTGTCTATCCAACTTTTTCCAGCAGGAGGAGGCAGAGTAGATGGGCAGACGTGGGGGAAGATGGGGACCAGTTCCACCGTGCATGAAGGGGACAGTCCTATCATAGTGGAGTGGGCACCAAACAGCCACTGCAAGCCAGAGAGAGAGGAACGGTCAGCCTGGATCAAGGCAGGGGAGAGGGAGGAGGGTCAGCCTGGATCAAGTGAGGACTAGAGAGAAAGGAGGGTCAGCTGAGCCAAGTAAGGGGAAGGAGAGTAGGGTTAGCCTGGATCAGAGACTCTTCTTCCTTGTACCAACAGAGGCTAGGGTAGTAGCTTTCTAAGAAAGATTTTCAGATTCACATATCTCCTTAGGAAAATCAACTCTCTTCCTTCCCAGTCAGTCAAGAAAACCTCCACATGTTCACAAAGCAAAGGGAAAATGTTTGTGTCCGAATCATCATGAAGCATTCTATCATTCTGAAATATTAAGAAACAACTCCTACACAAAACCATGAAAATGGGGTGTTGTTGTTGTTGTTATGTGCCGTCGAGTCACTTGTGACTCATAGCGACCTTATGTACAACAGCCCTGAAAATGGGGTAAGAAAGGGTTTTCTGCCCCACGAGGAAAAAAACAACCACACAAACCCTACAACAGAAAGTAAGAAATGCTGAGCACTCCTTGTATAACTCTTGAATTCTTCCATAAAGCACTACAAGGCTGAAATTTTTTTAATATGACTTTAAAACACTTAGTAACTCCATTTATCATTTTTAAAGAAAACAGTAAACTCCTATTTTCAAAGTAAAAATTGCTAAGGCGTTAAGGTTCAAAGTTTCCTAAGGACAACCAACACGAATAGATTCCACGGTAAAGAAAAGGCAACGTAGCAGAGCGCACATGAGGGCCACCGCCAGAGCCCAGCCGAGCAGGCAGCTGCGGACAGGGCCTCCCCTGCGGAACGCACGGACTCCTCACAGGTGAACCGGTAAGACGCACCTCCCCTGATCTGGAACAGCTGAATCTATTCATTTTAAAACCATGAAAGCATTTTTGGTTGTCCTTTCTATAAAATAGCCTTCTGTCTCTAAATATTGCCATTTTAAAAATGAGTACTATAAAAAAAAATTAGAATAGAAATACGAAGTTTTCTTGGATTTCTTCTTCTTTTTTATTTTTAAATTTACACAAGAAAAACATGCCTTTTTCTCTGGGGTGGGGGGAGGTGAACGGGAGTTCCCTGTCGCTCTGTACCCCTAGTGGTAGGACTCTGATACATCAACCTCCCCGAAATATTGCACAGGCTCCAGAGGCTCATTGAATAAAGCCAGGATGAACTGCACCACAGGACACAACGCTCCTCCACCTTCGTGGGGGGGCTGTTAGGTCTCAAGTCCAGGATAGGAACCGAGGGACATTCAGAAAGGCTTGCACAATAATAAAAGATTTCTTAAATCGTATCTTCTAAGGTACTACCGCTGAGCACACTCGTACTCAATACTGGCAGCATTTGGAATGGTCCCCGTTTAATGCATCTGCATGCTAGGGGGTCACCAACGGGTCTTGCCCAGGCCAGCTGGCTTGTTCCGTGGCCTCATTAATCAAAGGCATAATCACTCTTATTTGTATGCATACATTAGAATCCCCTGTCTTTAAGCCTCAGACACTTCGGGAGTGCAGGGTGGCATTAGCTGGGGAGGTGGTCTCACGTGCCAAGCCGGATCCGCAAACCCTCCATGGAGCACTGCTGAGCGCTACAGGCAGGTCCCCCGCTGGCCCATCGGCTCGGCTTCTCCGAGGCCGCGGACCGAGGCCGCTTTCCACTGGGCAAGAGCGACCAGATCAGAATCAGAAAGAGCTATTGATCCCCAGCTCGCGTTCAAGTCAGGCCGACTGTGCAAGTATTAACTTCTCGGCGCGAGTCAGCCGGGTGCGCGCGGCCACGCTCGGCGCCGGCCACTTCAACACCGCGCTCTGAACAGCGACCCGGCGGTGGCCAAAGTTGGAGCCCGGGGAGCCCACCCGGCCGGGGTCCGCCCGCAGTGCCGTGTCCGGAGACCGGGAAGGACACAGCAGAAACTGGCGGAGAGCAGAGCGGGACGTCGAAGCATGAACTTTGATGCTGGCGCAGGGCGGCCAGGCTGCGTCCGGATCTGGGGGCACCGGCGCCCCGGGCGGGAGGGCGCGCGCCCCGGGAGGAGGGAGCCGCGAGGCGAGACCGGCGACCCGGGCCGGCGGGCGGGGACACGTACCTGCCCGTGCAGCCAGGGCTGGTGC